TGATTAACAGACCACTCTTTGTTGAAACATTATTGTGAGTTAACATCGACTACTGAATAGTTGGCAGTACTAAGTAAATTGCAATCGACTAAATTGAGCAACAAAGCGCCCTAAATCACAGTGAGTGGTGATTTCGTGACAGCTTCTATCGATGTTGAATCGTTTAGAAAAGATAGGACTTGTCCCTATAAAGAGGAAATATTGAATTGTCATATCTATTGTGTACTTTCCAAAACAAATTACCACTATGTTTAGAGTAAAATGTGACGAATCTGCCTCCTGAACCTGGATTTAAGTGTGTCAGGAACGTGGGGGCAGAAGTCTCACCATTTGATAGGAATATTCTTGGTAGACAATCTCCACAAATTTCTTTTTGCTGTCAAAATCCCGTCAGAACCCTCTTAAATGCAACATTGGCTCAACCGGTGCTTCTGTACGTAACACCATTCGTTGTAACCACAGAGGTTCGTTGCACTAGCCACACAATGAGCGCCTAGATTGACGCATGATTGCAGAAACTGGCAACTGTGCTCCCTGCGCCTCCACTCCGACGCGTTCTGTCAACGGTCCTTCTGATTCGTGGACATCACCGATCGATTAATCAGTTGGTGGCAAGACGCAATGACGTGATGGTGTCTCGGCCATGTGCACAACTTCAGTACTTTTAAATCTACTCCTGATTTGTCACCCGTACCTTCATGAGATGGAAATAATCGATTATCTGGAAGGCCGAGGCCTTCGACTGACGCAGCTACGGAAAGTGGAAGAAGACGGTAGACAACTGCGACGACAGGGTGTCTGACGAGCGCTCGACATTCACACCACCGAACCAAAGTCACCACGTGAGGCTTCTTAGTAGCAGAAAAGGCATCGAAGAATCTAGTCTACTGTTGGGAAGACGTGGTCATTGGTAACGGCAAATGCATTATTGACCTGTTAACAAATAACGATTATTCTTAATCCGCAATCGATTTGCACGGTTTTGAAAAAAAATACGTCAACGCTCTGCTCTCAGTCGCACAACGAACGTAATTTTGCTGACACCATTTGCAACAACAGAATTATTGTGTCTATGAGTATCATTGACTACGAGAACCCACTCAGCACGTTTCACTGCTTCCACGACTGCAACCAATCGCAACTCCTTCGCGTCGCCTTGACGCGAGCACTTAATGACACAGCGTCTAATCACGTCCAGCCCTCTCTGTTTCGGAACTGAACACAATTTGGTAAAATGGTGACTTTAAAAACCAAGACTCTGGTTGTATGAGATTATCAAGAATTAAGTCGTTAATTGTGTTTTTTTCTCAAAACAAGTCGACTTCGCATCACCTCTTTGAATGGCCAGTAGATTTGGACGGTCACTGCACGGTCCTCCACAGTACAGTGTTTTTGAGGGTTCAAAGAAGAGAAGCTGAACGAGATTAAGGTCTAATCAAGAGGTTAGGAGCAGAATCGGGTGATAGGAAGCAGATCGGAGTGAAAAACCACAAGAAAATGATTTTACAAAAACAGACCCGCCTTCTCCACTAGTAGAGGTCTGATCGAATTTTTTGCCTAGCCTCACAGCATCATTGTGAGTTAACATCGCCTCTGTCTTTGTTCGAACTCTAGCTGTGAAGAGCAAAAAAGATTACAAAATGAAGTTAAAATGTTTGATGGAGCCAGTAACACAAAGCAGCATATTGGTAAATACATTGAATGCTTATTAAAGTACTGGATTTCGCATCGAATTTCTAAATTTAGTAACTACTAGATAAGATACAGTAGACATGTTTGCTCTTTTATACAGCAACAAGCAGTAAACTTATGTACAGTGCTATTTTGAACGATTGATGATCATCAAAAAGTGATTCCATTAGGCGACTGCGCTCAGTTTGGCTACCGACTGAAACAGCCAACTTTGATTCGTCAATGGTGGTGACAAGAAGTTGCTTCGTAAAACTGACGACTGTTACCATGAAAAAAGCTCAACGCTCAAAGCCGAAGCGACCGATGTTCACGTGTATGTGATGCCGTGAGGCGACTTGGCTCGGACTGGCTGCGAAATGAACCGGCCAACGTTGATTTTTCAATGATGTTCTTACGCTGGTAGGTTATAAAACTGACTGCTAACATGCCCCAATTTACACCGCCTCCGTCTGCTGGTTAGCGCTCAACTCGGGGTTGTTGTGGCGCATCAGGGCAGCTTGCATTTTGTCTTGTCAAAATCAAGTGTGATGTAAAAATTGAATCTTGCATGCAGTTAAGAGGGCACGGTAATTGGTAACGCCTAAGGTATTATCGGCTGTGATGCGTTTTGTTTACTACGGCAGCACTTGTGGTGACTGACGACAATCCGTCAAGTTACGAATGAGTGTGCCTACTTGCTACGGGCTGTCTTAAATTCCACTTCGGCATGGTGGAGCATCGCGTTTCCCAGCGATTAATCATTATTTTGTTTGTAATTCACCAGCTACTAGCAAGTGGTAAGTAAAAATGTATTCGGACTGTGGATTGTGCCAAATCACCTGCAAATAATAGCATGATGAACTGGATTAATAAATTAAAAAGGGCTAAACAGACCGTCGGCATTTTGAACTAATTTTCTATTTTTACTAGCGTCATGAAATATGGGGATTTTTTTTATCCGTAATTTGAAAATTTGCCATTTATTTCACGACGCAAAGAGTCCAGCCTCGGTCTTATGCACGAAGGTGTAATGTCTTCGAACTCTACGTCTTGTTTGACTCAAATTTTTTTGGCCTTATGGTAACAAATAATCGCTTTTCAATTTACCCGAAATCCGCTAGACTTACTTTCCATTAATATTCAGCCCACGAGTCATCAGATACGACGAATTCCGCCAGTAGGTAGTCGCAATTCACACAAATTCAGCACAGATTTACCTCTGTGTGACGCGATCAGTGCGATTTCGTGATTAACAGACCACTCTTTGTTGAAGCATCGTTGTGGGTTACCGTTACCTGTCTTTGTTTGAACCCTAACTGTGAAGACCAAAAAAGATTAGAAATAAGGTTAAAATGCTTGACGGAGCAAGTAACACAAATCAGCATATTGGTAATTTCGTTGGATGCTAAATAAAGTAGCGGTTTGCCCTTTGTTTTTCCATATTTGTCAACTACTAAATAAAAAATAGTAAACATGTTTGTTTTTTTTACAATAACTACCAGTTAACTAATGTACCGTGCTATGATTGAACGAGTGGTCATTATCAAAACGTGAAACTTTTTTTGTTTTATTTTTTCAATCGTGTAGGACACAGATGACCCTCATTTTTGAGGACTTGTGGTGCGTGTGCATGATGTGTCCAAATGGATTTAAGGTGGGGATCTTTACAAATCCATATGAAGTCACAAGATGTGATTTTATTTTTTATAGGTTGCACGTTTTTTTTCAATTTAGTTCCCTTTTGTATGTTTACTAGTCTCCCTCTTATGGGATATAATGAATTCAGATAAAGTCAATATTTTCAATGAAAAAAAAACTGGGAGTGATGAGCTTTTTGTAAAAAAAATATTTCGATGTAATGGATTTTGACATTTTCGTGTAGGCCTTCCGTGTAGCCAACAATTGACAACAACGAAACAGGTCGATCTCTCATGCCTCTTGCGTGTCCATTTAATCTAACAATGAATTAGTTCGAAGAACTTGTGTTCTTATCAGAAATAGCAAGACAGAATGCAAATCCTGATTGACTAGCATAATAGGGCTTGTAGAAAGCATTTCTAGCTTCCATGCTTGCACTTTTGGTTCACATGACTTTGCTTCCTTTGGTTTAGTTGAAACGGAATTTTCTTAAATGAATTGTCATACCGTGGGATTTACATTTTATTCTTGCTAATAATTAGGTAGCTATGTTTAAGAAAGGTAATCGTGATGATGTCGTATTCTCTGTAACGAATTATAACGTGTTAATGCAACTAAAACTTTAGTGATGGCCACTAGTTGCCCGCCCGGTATAAGCTCATTGCAAAATGTGCTTGCGGTTATATGAACTGAAAAACATGGGAAGATTACAGTAAGTAAGCAATGCCCTCACGTTGCAAGAAGCCAAATATTTTTGTGTGAAATGTGCCAAAGTGATAATGTAGTATAATCGTGCTTGCGTAAATTATTATTCACTTGTAGGATCTATAATACAGGAAGTTTGCTTCGGTGGGGGGTAGTTAGTTATTATTCATCAGTAGCATTGGCTAATCAAATCTAATTCTTACATTCAAAACAGCGTGGTTATTTAACCAATCTGCGACAACTTGTAATGTGGCATGTGCGAAGCCCTCTTGCCACAGGTCCTATCAATGAGTGGCATTCAGAAATCCGACGAAGGAATGCTTCATCAACGACCAGCAGCGACTTGCTTAGGTTGCAGTGAGTTGATGTCACACTTGGTTTACGTGTTTGACAAGCTTTTATAGTAATGATGGTGGTGAACGATACCACAGTTGGTCAGCAGCCTTTTTGTGAATTGAGCTGATGGCAGTAAATTGTGGCTTGCTTATGATGAAGGTGGTTGTATGCTACTGGATGTTATAACCTACAGGAGACACAATGACTGAGTTTGGATTCAGTTACCGCAACGTGCATTGCACATTTACACGCAACTGGGCAAGTCAGTTAAGGGATGTACACTAGCGACGACATGGGCCCTTGCTTCGAGTGGAATTGTTCGAAGAACACAACGTTGACAATCCAGTGAATCGACGCATTTCCGCGTCTTATCCTATGTGAGTATGCCATCTCTTTACTAAGCGCAACTAGTTTCACTGACCCTTGTGAATATTTGAAATGGCTACCGCATTGAGCATTTAACGTGGACATTATCGACACGTCACTTTATTACAGCAGCCACAATGATTTTTTTAGGTTCTTTGCCACAAACATGCGATAAAAAGTATTTGTGTTTGTCGTTCTAAAAAGGACCGCTGTCACTAAATTCACTCCTCTTGTTGTCATTGATTTAGCGAAGGAAAGTGCGTGTTAATTCCGGTGCCTTTGTGTCAGTGTGCCATTGTGGGTTGAAGGGCATCCTGAGTGTTTGGCAAGGCACCAGCCTTGGCGATTACCAAATTACGTATTATTAACCTTCTCAAGTCATTATTGCAAGCGCCTAGGTGAATGTGAGTAGGGAGGACGCGAGTCATGTCCACGTCATGAGCGGCGTTGCCTGCCAACTCGCGGATCTCAGACGTGGGGTACGCGAGCACCGCTGCTAAGTAGACTGGGACATCAGGACTTACGCGTACCGCGCGTTCATGACGACGCAACTCATTGTCCACACGACTGACCAGCTCGAGTCGACCTCGCCTTGGTCCAGAAACGTAATCAATGCTGCGTCCACTGCAAACACGGTTGCAATGCTGTAGCAGATTAACAGCGATCGCGCCTGAGTGAACCCTGGTTACCGAACTGACGGTGACAATGACTCATTTCCTTTTCATTGGTTGCCCTTATCAGACACCTGTCATCCGTTCACTCATCCACACACTAAGACACACTTGGCTGCGTTGTAGGCCCCAGTATGTGACCTTGAACCACGCCGGGGCCACGGAATTAACCCTGGACCGATTACGCTTGCCTGATACCCGCGATGAAGGAAAGAGGCCGGAGAGGACGTGGACACAACCGTTTACTTCAGAGGTCAACCGCGTTGGTGTCGTTGTGTCGTGTGTGGTGTTTGCTCGTGTGTATTTACAGCTCGGGTGTGCGAGTTATACATGCGTTAACATCGATACCTATGTGTGGGGACACTCCAAGATAAATATTCGGGCTAATGAAGGGGAGTAGAGGATTCGTGGGGCTGGCGACACGCTGCGACAAGGGGAACTCTGTGTAGGAGGTGGAGCGACCGGGTTGAATAAACAGGATTCACGACAGCTGGCGTGACGATAATAAACGGTCGTGTCCTCTGTCGCCTCTTTTCCAACTCTTCTCGGGTTGTTTCGGTCTGTTAACTTCAGGGTTGTGGTAGGTGGTGCTAGACCCTAGCCACTACAATGCCAACATTACTGGCCTATCTCTAAGTGCCTCTTGTTTGGTTCGTCGTGACACATTTGTGAGATGAGTGCAGAAGGAACCCATTTTGCGAGTCCGTTCAGATCCCTGCATTTTCTAGCAAGTAACAAAAAGTGCATGAAAAATTGATGATCGATAAACAAGAATTCCGCGGCATCAGTCAAAATCGCATCGCCATTGTAGTTCCAAAATAGCTTGTCGAACACAATATAACGATGCAGCCTTCCAGTGACAGTGCCGTGAAAATCGACGACACGAATCAACGCGTAGTTTGACTACAAGCGCCTGTGAATGAGACGTAGGCATTTAGTGGGCCGCTGGACGCATTTGCAAAAGTGCGTGTGTGATGGACGCGAAGGCCGCAGCTAGGAATGCTAGTTTGTGGTTTTCAAGTTGCCCATATTTTAGATTTATTAATAAATAGAAATCGACCTGAACGGCAAACCGAGAGGTTTCATTCCACTGTGCTCTGGGCCAGCACTAATCGTCTCTGGTGGTCTCGTGGAAGTCAGTGGAAAAGGAGCATTTTCACTGAAATTGATGTCTGTTGAGCTGGAAACGTGTTTGTGTCATTTGGCTACTCGAAATCATTTGTTTGGCATGAGAGATGCATAGTGACAGGTGGATTTTCAGTGACTTGTCTATTCGTGAGAGTTTGCACGTATTTAATTCCTCTAGTCAGGTCAATGTCACGTAATAGCTTGTCTGGTTTGTCGCACCAGCATGCATAAATCGAGGTGGTGTGGCAGAGAATGACTCAGTCACTGTGACATCTTCCACTCGTTATGCTCAAATCTAACGTGTCTAAGTCACCCATGCCGTGAATGCAGGCATTTTTATAAACTGATATTTGGCATCTGCACGTCTCGTTTTTCCAACTTTTTGAATCCCTATGAATAGCCAGGAATGTTCAAAATGCGAAAACCTCGGTTAATTCACAACCTTACTAAGTCTAACATGATCGGTGAATCTTGCTGCACAAGGTATGGGCCAAATGTCTCTCACAAGTAGGTGAGTGTTCAATCTAAACCACGTAACCCCCATGGATCTTAAACTTGTGTCACATACGAGGCATCAATCACATGGCTATTGACGGTGATGATGCTTAGCACAGGCAGATTTTGAAGTTCCAATGGAGTCAGGCGAGATCGCTTTGAACGGTGCGGGATCATGTGTGATCCTAAATGGGTAAATGCGATTTTGTACAATGCATGTACTTGACTGACAAAACCGCCTTGATCGTGCTGATATTTTACTCTGGTTTACTATGTCAAAATTCAGGCACAAATAAACGCATTGCAAAATGTTTTCCCAATGGCAGGCAAACAGTTTAACTTTGAGCATTTATTTTTTATACTTCGGTGAAATGTTTAATGTGAATGATTCAGAATGGGGCATGGTGACTGACAGTCCGACGCCCGCGTCTCATCAGTTTGACGTTTATCCAGCCTCGAGACACGTGTAAGCAGATGGTTTAGGTTTGAGCGTCACATCTCAAATATGCGGCTGTCGTCGTAGTCCCGTTCGTTTGGGCATGCCGCCTTGGTTGTTAGCGTTGTGTGCAAAGGTAAATGAATAATTATCCTTCCACAGAACCAGAAAAAGGTCCTAGCATGTGGTCGACACAGTCATCGTCGTGTAGCTCTCAAGATTGACCTGCAGATTAGCTATCGGTTTTAGCAAAAATTTAGTCGGTATGGCGATAATCAGCACCATAATTGTCACCACGTCAGCTAATTCGAACGCAGTTTCGCAACTTTGTAAATGATTTCTCTACATTTTTCCGCAAAAAGAAATAGTCTTTTGATTCTTGATTAGGTAACGTGAAGAGTAGAAACGAGAACGAAAAGGCATACCCAATACGAAAATTGCCAACTGAAAAATTCAAAGCGCAACTCGGGTGCGTGGCCTGGATCTACCCACGACGGTTTGCATTTAGAAATCCCGTAAAACATACAAAATTCCACAACATTTTCACTACTTTCCACCAGAAGTCCCTTTTTGTTGCCAGCGGGCAAGCAGCCATATGTACGTGGTCGTATGCTTACCATACTTGCGTTCGATGAGCATGCGCGGGACCAAACTTCCAAGTTTGTGATTTTTTCCCTGTTTGGTACAGACGATTGGATATAGTTGTTTGGATGACTTCGTGGTGAACCGCAAGTTCTTGTTGCAGTTGCATTGAGTCTTCATCCAGTGGGGCTTGCGATTTTGCATCTTCAAACTTTTGAGGCTGCTGTCCGGGGCGTGGTTTGTCGCTAACATCCGAATCATCACTTCAAGAACGTTTTTACCGATAGTTACATGTTTCATAGCACACAACGTCGGCACCGAGAACATTACAAATTGATTCTCGTGGTTTCGGTGCATTTTTGTCTTCTTGGAGTTCGTACAAAATGCAGGGCCATCGAATGTACTATTCATCAGTTGCCATCGTACACTCTGCTGTTGTGCGAGGTTATGTAACTCACGTAGAATTGCCATTGGGTGTTCTGAAATCTTACTTTTGATCTTTTTAGAACCACAAATGTCGACTAATGTATTTCCCTGTTAGATACAATTTTAAGCTTGAAGAAGAAATCCGCAAAAATTAAGTCATACACCTGACAAAAATGAAATATAAGTAATCATTAAATTAGAATGGGCCCGAATTCCCGTTTCTTTTACTAAAAAAATTCTTTGGCCCCAAGGAAAGTTACCATCTTCAAGCGAACGCCTGCGCGATCCCGTAGAGTTTTCTTCCTCTTAGTTCTCATAACTGAATACTCAGTCGATATGCGGGACTGAGCTCGTAAAACAAGCTTGTGGCGGTTCGCAGAAAACATTAGAACTTCGGAGAAGTCCTACAAAGGCGTACTAACGATGACTGAAATTATGAAAGCTTCGATTGTGGAGTTCTGCACGAACAATGCGAGTTAGAACCAGGCCAGTCAACAGCAGAGCAGCGTTTGAAGACTGAGCTGAAGGATGACTAATTCGTTAAAGCACTTTACGCCGATATTGGTGGATAGTGTCCTTGGAGTTAGGACAATCGCAAAACTCGTGTCTGCCGTTTGAAACCGAACATCCACCACAGCGCTTCGGTGATGGTGTTTGTCAATTCAACACCATCACGAAATGAGTAGTCATATGGGAGCTGCTTTCACCACATCAGCGCTGAGGGCTCGGTTTTGTATCCTGAAAGCTAGCAAAACGGTTAATGCTGTTCTAACTACTTGTTTCACATGCCAACGGTGTTTCTCCAAACCTTATCAACAAGCCATGGCACCTTGATCCGCCTGCCGCACCGTTGAATGTTGTCAACGCTTTCACCATTTCCGAAGTCGACTCTTTCGGCCTCATTCTAATCCAAAGCAGACGCACCAACGCCAAACAATACGGATGTTTATTTACTCCAACCCACGATGAGTTTAGCCAGAGATCATTCTTACTCTCGACACGGACCAGTTTCCTTACTCGTTTAATCTATTTGTAGCGCTAACAAGCTGCCCCAGCCATTATACGGTGACGACAGTAGCAACTTCAGAGAAACAGAGGAAGATGCAAGGCTGGCATTGAAGGCCTGGAATCAAGACAGGATTGCCAAAGCCTCAACAACTAGAAAGTGCGAATGGATCTTCAATCCACCCTAGGCGAGCCACCGTGGCAGAGAGAATGACCCTCCGTGCAATATTGGGAGAACAAGGTCCGACAGTTGCAGTGTTTAATGCGATTGAATTGCGATGGACAGGCTCCCAATAAGAAAAGCGAAGGCCCCGATGACCAGCCTGTCTTCACCCCGAATGAGTTAATGTTACTCGAAATCAGCCCTTCGATGCCTGCACAAGATGAGATTTCGACAACTTGACACAATAAACGATGGTACCGGGCACAGTTACTGACGAACACACGCGTATTTACCTACATTAGCAACTAACGCCATAAATTGACACTACCTTAGCATCGAAGTTCCAGCCGCAGTTAAGGCTCAGTGGGAAACGCACGTGGCATGTAAAAAACCACCTTAAGACACAGAACATCACACCTTGGGGCAGCTAAAAAAATCCACTCCAACGACACTTCGTCGCCTATACTGAGCCTCAAGAGAATCGATTATGACGGCTACAACGAAGTCAAGTGACACAGTAATGTAAAACTCTAGCAAAACCAATCCTCTAACTTTCGCACTACGACACCACCAGAATGACCTGTAGCAAAGAACTTAAACGACTGACGGCTCCTCTAGCCCCCTTCCAATAGCACAACAACCAAATCCTCACACGTCCGGTAATAACACGCCATCGGCTAGTTCACAAAGACTTTATTCAACAGATCACGCCTTGGCGTCATCCGACGTCTTTGATGCCTCCTTAGCTTTTGCAGACAACTTCGACTTCTTATGCTTGCGTCTCACAGTCGAGTTATTTTGGGTAACACGAGCATTGCGTTCAGCACGGGCATTTGGGTTCAATTTAATAAGAACCTACAAGGTAACGAGTGACGACGACAGCAATTGCAAGCATACCTGCATATTCTTCAACGGATTCTTTTTCACACTTCGCCGTTTCCGAAGGCAACCCATTCGTTTTGGACGAAGGACATTACGGACGGCACGACATGTCAGAAGTCGATTTAGGTCCGT